CAAGTCCATCCTCTCTCTAACCACTGAGCCACTGCGTTACTTTACTAAACTAAACTTGTTATAATGAAAAATCGTTATTTTTAATAATTAAAATCTATATGTAAGAGATACTATTGTTAAATATTTTGTGTAAAAAATTATTTTTCTATACTTAAGTGTATTCAATTAATGTATTAATCAGTTACTTCCGAAGATTTTTGAGAATTAAGAAATTGTGATTCCTTCCGTTTCATTTTTTGATATTATACCTATTTGTTATACTCGTACCTATATCTACAGATATTTTTCAATAAAAATCTTTTATTAAATTGCTGGAAACTCCAAAAAAAATGTGTTTGTTTTTAGCTACTAATCCTAACTAAGGGGCGCCAAAATAGGGAGCTACGCTGGCAGCTTCAGTCCTCGCGAAGACCCTGACTTAAGATATTCATCTAAGATGAGTTTTTAAAATTTGAATCATATAATATTTAAAAAAAATATATTTTTAGTTTGGGGATCAATCATAATACATACCTATATACACTAAAGCAATTATTGAACAAATAGAAAATATCTTTAGTCACGTATATCATTTTTAAATAAGTTAATAGTTGATAATTTATTTATTTATTGTAGATATATACAATACATACCCCAGGTGATGTATTGGATTCTATTTCTATCAAGCATTCTATGGATCACATTTTTATTAAAAAAAACTATTTTTAATTAAAAAATTAAGCATTCCTGATTACGGTTTTATTTTTTCTAAATTTACCTATTCAAACTTGGTATATAATCCGCATAATTATTTTTAAATTAATAAAAACCCTTTCAATAGAACTGCTACCACCTACCACCATAAAAAAACTATTATTACATATCTATCTAATTCTGGATTTAAACTATCAATACGAGGGACACTGCCAAAGTTCGCAGAAAATGTAAAGCAAAACACAAATTACGTTATGTAAATCGCTTTATTGCTTCTCAAAATATTCTCCTCTAAAATCTATACACTTTTGCATCCGATGAAAGCAATCTTCAAAACAATTTTGCCATTCTCAGCGAGGTACCTTCAAAACAAGTGATTTAAATGCTTCAACAGCCTCTTCAGGCGATGAAAAACGCTCGCCACGCATTTTATTTTTGATATGTCGAAATAGGAAGAAGTCATTGGGTGATAAATCAGGCGAATATGGGCAATGAGTCACTAATTGAATGTTGTTACTGGTCAAAATCTCTACAGTTCGTCGTGCTGTGTGAGCGCTTGCATTGTCATGATGAAGAATGATTCGCCGGTTTATGTTGTTCCTTCTGATTTCAGCGATAACTTCCGACAAACAAATTGAAGTATACCATTTAGAATTAACTGTCCTTCGATCCTCTAATGCAATAGTTGCAACATGACCCGTTTTTCCGAAGAAACAACACGGAAAAAAAATTGTAGAACAAATTTCTACAATTGTAGATTTTTTCTCTACAATAAATAGTACATATAGGGACAGGGACAATTTGTAGTAAAAATTTCCAAATATTTGTGGAGAATGTATTGTAGAGTATTATCTACAATATTTAGTAAAAAGATCCAAATGCATCATAAGAATTGTTCTACAAATTGTTATAATTTTTGCTATTCATTGTATGAATTTATATTAAAAATGTATTGCGTTTTATGAAAATAAATACGAAAATTTTACACAATAAATAGTAAAAATTCATACAAATTGTAGTAATTTTTAATAAAATTTGTAGTAGTATTCCATAATTATTATAATTATAACCTAGAAAAAAATGTTCCTTAATAAAATATTCAATTTATTGTTTTAATATAAAAGATACAAATTCTTAATTACATTATGTAATAAATAATAGTAATAATAGCGCCCTCAGTCTCAGTTGGCTTTTCTGCACCTGAAAAATATGAAATAAAAATTAATACCAATTGAATTGTTCATACCCTTAAAACGGGGATATTTATCACCTTTACACTGATTTGGATATTAAATGACTAAGTCAGATAACTAACAAAAATGAGAAAGTGGGTATGTCACAATTAAGACAAAAAACATCATTCAACTTGGCACAAAATTCGATCATTGAACACAACATTCGATCGTTGGCCACAACTATTTTTTTAAAATAATCTACTAAGGTTATTTAAATTAGTTATCTAAAGGTAAATTATTCAGAAACAATAATAAATGTACTTACCACCAATAGAATTTATTATTAAAATTTTCTCAAACGCATCGGTGCTTATAATATAATAATGTGTTATAGGTACTCGTATATGTACCATGCTTTGTTATGTGAACATGGCAAACGGCTACTGCTGTCTGGCCGTTTATGATCGACGTCAGAAAACGTTGGCCAATAGCAGAATTCTGTTTTGTTCACATGACTTAGAATTTCTACAATATTATAGAATATTTTTGAAGAAGGGATGTAAAGTATTACTATTTTTTGTTGAGAAAATTACTATTTTTGTAGAGATAATTATTAATATTTGTACAAATTTTTACAGAAGTTAGTAGTAGTAATTACGATAATTGTAATAAATTTCTACTTTTACAAACAATAGTAAAATATACTAAACATTGTGGACTTCTTTCCTATTGTTGTAGCATTTTATTCGACAATTCAATTGCTACAATAATTAATAGTTTTTAACTATAAATTGTAGTAAAATTTTCTACAAATTGTTAAGTATTTTTCTACAAGTCTACTACTACAACATTGTAGTAAAATTTTCTAGTCACATTTTTTTCCGTGAAGCAATCATTCTTTTCGAAACGCTTTTGGAACACCCATACAGTCGATTGCTGTTTAGTTTCAGGCTCATATGAATATATCCAAGATTCGTTACCTGTTACGATGTTATATATACCGAATTTGAACGACCCCCTTCGAATTTGTTTAGCATTTCCTTGCACCACTTGACACGTGCCTGTTTTTGTTCTTCTTTCAAATTGTGTGGGATCCAACGACTGCAAAGCTTCCTGACATGCAAATGATCGTGCAAAATCGTATGTATTTGTTTCGCTGCAATGCCTAAGGATGCCTCTATCTCACAATAGGTCACATGCCGATCTGACAAAATCATTTCACGCACAGCATCAATATTTTTCGCGACAACAGAGGTACATGGACGACCTTCGCGAAGATCGTCATCAAACGTTGGTCTTCCACGCTTGAATTCTGCGAACCATTTGTAAACAATAGTTTTGGATGGTGCTTCATCACCAAATAATGAACTAAGTTTTTCCACACATTGCTGCGGTGTTAAACCGTATCGAAAATCATAAAAAATCATCACTCGGAAGTCACAATTCGAAATTTCCATTTTTCACATAAATATTAGGTACTCTCGTTAAATTTTGTTAAAACGAAACCGAGCAGTTTGAAATCGAACTGTAACTGAATGATAGGTGAAAAAAGTCAAATTTTACGAATAGGTAGACAATCGCAGAACGCTAGCAATACATGGAATACTTGATTCCGCGAACTTTAGCAGTGGCCCTCGTACTATTCGCTTATACCAAAAAGAGAAAGAACCATTTCGATAAAATGAACGATAATATAAAGAAGTTCTAGGAATTGATTCGTCCAAAATGTGCGTATAATATTGGTCGAGATTTTACAGCTTCCCTTTAAATTTGTCACTCTTATCTGTTCGAGAAGTAAGAAGCGTAGCGTTTACATTATGTGAAGTTTATTCACAGTATATGTTAGGCGATCTAGTTGAAGAGATCTCGAGCAAAGAACAAAGAGTATTTGACATTAGAAGACTAAAAAACATAAATATCAACAATATGTGCAACTGGATTAGAGATCGTAATATGCTTGATATTTTTCCTAATACCCATCGATATAGTTTTAAGAATTTACAAATGAATGTCAGTAGACAATTTTTCTTCAGAATGTTCGTTCTGATGCTTAAAACATGCTTACACCTTGAGTATGCCCAATGGGGCTTGAACAATTTAGCAATTTTATGAATTGAATCTGACACTGAATTCGATTTTATTTGAAGAGGTGATTAAAATTTTCATTGAGAATAAATTCAGACGAAAAGTGTATTGTGACTACGAAAAAAAGGCTATTTTTATTTACTCTAGAATATGGATCTAGAGTTTTTGTTTTTATATTCTGTTAGAATTAAGTTTTTGGTTATTTTTACGCGATTCTAATAATCGTTCGTAAAATTTTCGTATTCCTCATTTTAGAACCTATTTTTAGTTTTGAAAAAAATATAGCAAAGGCGGCGATTTGGTTTAGCCTATAGGCAGCATATTTGTAAATCTACCCCTGTATACAACAAAGGAAATGCAAATTTAAATGTTCAGCTGTACCTATATACCTAAGATGAATCTAGATATAGAAAAAATCTACCTAATGGGTAATATAAGTATTTCTTAATATAACGAATGGTACAGATACAACTGAAAGATTGGGACGACCTAAATATTTTAATGTTGAAAGCTTGAGTCCTGATGATGATTTCTGGGAAATTTAAATTGGTTATTTTTGTTGATATTTTATTAGAATTTTTTGTATAAAGCAGGAAAATGTAGGTATTACTTTTGAATTTAGAATATGCTATTTCTGAAATTTTTAATAGTAAGCTCAAATAACTTTTTTGTGAAAAAATATATGTTAAAAAGCCTCCTCATTTAACAGTTACGTATATTAAAAAATATCTTCCTTCTAGTAACTGCCTCACAACAAAAAAATTAACACAGTAGCAAAACATTCTTCATTAACGTCTTATTCATTCAGAACATCTTCATCTTGGAAGCCACTAAAAAAACATTATTATTACAACCAATTACCCAGTACAAAATTTATGACAAATAACACCCATAACCCATCATCTACCATAATCCCTATAATCAAACTTTCAACTTTTTCGCCTACCGACGCAAAGCAAGCCTCAAGCTAGGCGTGGCCAAAAGTAGGAGGAGCTGAGTGCATCTAGCACCACAGGTTAGAGTCACAATATTTTGAATTAGTGCCCAAGATCCTTTACTAAAGTTAACACTTGTTAAGTAGTGATGCTGGAAGGATTAGTTCAGATTTTTACGAAACATCTCACGGACTTTGTGACTAATATACCGGGTGTTGTTTAGACTATTGACTCTTTATTTTTTGTGGTACGTCTTTAAGTTTATTGGTGGTTTTTTATGAAGTGACTTTTTGGTTGGTTAAAAAATGACTGTTACGGGTAATTTTGGAATTATGCATAGACCATGTTTCTCTGGGTATCCTTTTCAAGGTAAGAAATCGTTTAACATTGCAAAAAAATTAGGAAAAAAATGAAACAAATAATTACCTAATAACTAAATAAGTATGGTACCTATACCTAATTTACATATTATAATTTGATGATTTACCTAATTAGAAACATCTAGAAATTTGTTTCAGAGTTTGTAAATCCAACTAATATATTTAGCAAAAACTTTCCATTAAGTAGCCTAGCTTTATTTTAAAAACAAATTAAATTAATTATTATCTAGATAGATACATACCTTTCTACTGAAGAAGACATTAAAATTCCGCAAGTAAATTTAAACATTTACCTAATGAAGTAATTTTATTTTCAAGAAGTTCCCCAAAACATTTAGGTATATAGGTAATACATATCTAACTAGGAAAGTAACCTACCTATGTGAACACTTAGGTTGAAATAAAAATCCACATTTTTCATTTAGGTTACCTATTTAAGTTTTTTCCTCAATAAAATAATTTAGCAATTTTTTTAAAAATGATTTTCCGTCGCATGAGTAAAATTTAAATAAACAGGTGTATGTGAATTAAAACGTACTTAAATTTTGTATATGGAAGTATTAACTGGATTATTCATAAGAGTATTGACAAAGTGTCTGAAATATGGTTAACAATACCTGTGGTGTGTTTTACTCCAAAGACCATTCAAAAAATTTTGTAATTTTGCAGGGATTGAAATGGTAAAATATATACCTAACTGAAAAATACTAAAAATGTTGATTTTGCATAAGATAGTCTTAATTAAGTATATTTTCTTAAATGAAGTTCAAATGTGCAATTTAGAGCTAAGTAGGTAATCTCCAGGTTTAAGATTAAAAATTAGGTAAAAACAAGCAGAAAAATAAATTTGATTTTCTAACAAATTGTCTATGAGTTTTTAAAATCTACAGATATCTAAATTAAAAAAAAAACAGTGTTTTAAAGAATCTATATTAATTAATCTGAATTATTGATTTTTTTTAATAAGTCTTACGTAGAATTATTTCTACAAAAATTGAAAAATAGTAGATAGCTACTCATGCTATGATTTTTAAATTACTATCTATAATGCTCAATTTTTATGAAATTAAAACCAATATACCTACCCCAATATTGTGTTTTAATATCCGCGGTGAATACTTAAAGGTGGATTTGAATTAGGTAAGACAGGGCAAATATTTTTTCGTTTTACTGTTTTGAATACCTACCTACCTAGATATAGCTTGTTTAGGAACGATATTACAAAAATCCCTGATCGGACTAGATACTGGTTAAGATGAACACCACTTTTTTACACATTTAGAGCAACTCTCACCCTCCCCCTTTGATTCTTGTTCTTTCCCTCTTTCGTGATATTCGGAAAATGAATGAAGAGGACAAACGAGAGATCACAACTAAGATCGAATCATCAGTGTCCAATGAGCGAAATCCTATTGAAGTAGAGAAAATAAGTAGGTATGTGTTTTCACAACTACACTTGATACCTATTAGACGCACAGTAAGTGATAAACATTTTTAGATGCCTGAAAAAAGAAAATTATAACGACCAAAAATAATTTTTACAAGCTTTCTACAGATATTTTTTCTCAACATAAGAATCTTGATCCACAGATTAAAATTCAAAATTTATATTGACAACTTTTTATAACTAATATCTACACTTATTTTTTTATTTACTAACTTCATAATAATCATAATAGTAGTAACTTATACCTAAAATGTATTATTGGTGTCTTTTATTGCACTACCTATATAAAACTTTCCCTTTTTTTGCTTAACGGGACCTGCCTGTCGTTCTTCTTCGAATTATGAATAAAATTCAATTTTAAAGAACCTCGAGAATTTTCTAGCAAAATAAATATCAGAGTGGTAGATTAATCGAAATGGTTGAACGGGTTCAGCTGTTTGTGGTCATTTTGAACAGAAGCTGGGGATTCTAATTAATAATGACAATATTGACTATATTTGTCGTTAGTTAGTAAATACCAATACTATTCGTACTACAGGATTTAAGTACGTTAGATGAAAAAATACTTAAATCATATTAGCAATACATCAAATATTTGAGAATTATTATTAAGAAACATCTACATTAAGATTTTCATTTATAAACCACTTATTAAAAAAGTAAAAGTATTAGTAGATTCAAGTTTTAAAGAACAAGCAAAAACAAAACCACAGAGAGGAACGACACTTACTTGTGACATCTTAAACTCGGAAACTTTCAGGTGCAAGTTTTATTATTGTGATTTGCTCCATAATCTTTTGATAAGGCATCAAAAGGGTAGCACCAGATGGAGATGTGGAATATTCCAGGGCTCAAAGTGTTCTTCGCTCAAATTTTAGAAATCGAGAACAGGCCTGAATTAGCACTATTGCAGCAAATAAATTACGAGTGCTGTAAAGATGTAAAAGGATGTTTTATGCACGGTTAAATAACTGCAATTATAAGCCAATGGATAAAGTTAAGTTTTCTTATGAAAATTATTTTAAAAGTGAAATAAATAAAATAAATATTTAAGTTCATAATAACAGTTATTTGAAATGGATTATGAATAAATGGTTCTTATTATATAGTAGGGTTTATAGTAAAAACTTTGAAAAGTCATTATTTGTGATGTTTTTTAATTTATTCGAACAGGGAGACATTACTAAATCTTTTAGTTATAAAAAACGATTTAGATAAAATTTGGGACGAACGAACTAGACATAATTTCGAATTAACACTTATACTTAAACAAAATGGACGACTATGTTTTACTGGAAATACCATTAGGTTTGATTTGAATCACACGTGCATTTTATGTTTTTTGGATCAAGGTTAAAATTGTACATGCCAATAGTGCCAAATTAACATTTTTGTAAATTTTTTTTTAATTTTTTTGATGGAAAATAACGTTTTAGTAGCCTCGAGTACCTCAAAACAAAAGCTATTTTACCAATTGAATTAAAAATAAATCCTTCAGATAAAAAAATACATTTCAAAAACCTGTTATTAGATGGCGAATTTTATTACCAATCAGACAATATGCACCATGCAGTCCATGTACCACTTAGAACATTATTCCAGTTCATAGCCTTTTACCTCAAAAGTGAAATTATCTTTAAGGGAAAACAACAATAACCAAAATATCTACATATACCTATTACGTTTATTTTATTATTATATGATGGAAGACAAATATAATGACTAGGTACTACCTAAGTATGTCGAGAACTAAAATTATTGTTTCTGATGATTTCTTTATTTTTGCTCGGACTTTTCCGAGAGCTCTCGTAATTCTTCTCCACATGCGTGCATTTTACCTATACACATATTTTAAACTTTGATCACCTCCGATTCTATTAATTTTTTAATCGATTTATATTAAGGTATTCGGTAATGGTTCGGTGATCACAAAAAAATTAATTGTTTCAGATTTCTATATTACCTAGCAATTAGACCGCCATCATTGGTGTTCCCTATATGATTTAAACGACTTAATTTATCTACGGAGCTCGCCTAAAGGTGTTATTTAAAAATTGGCTAGCTACTGTTTTACATTTTAAAGGCCTAGCTAAATAAGGATTGTAATTATACATTCAACCGAACAAGCGATGTTGAAATCGTATTGAGAAACAAAAAATAAATAATTATAACTATATCTACCTAGAGAAGATTGAAAAGTTTAATGTACCTACTAATATATAGTGTGTAACAACTATAACTTGGCCCTCCAGAAACTCACGAAATAAAGGAATGTTGTCGAATTGTCATATAAAATTCATATTCAGTGTTACTTATTGACAATATTTGCTATTAAAAAAAAAAATAGGGGAACACACTAAAAATTTCGTATCAAAAATTCTTGACAAGAATAAAAGGCTTTTGGCTTTAGGATATTTTAGGGGAAATGGCTAATTTCTGCAGTTTTTTGTTTGATGTTTGCTGGGACATATGAATAAAAAGTTTAAAACATAAGTAATATACAGGTTGGGTCCTCGTCAGTCGATAAAATGAAATTTTTATTAAATTTCTCGATCTCCTATTATACTCTGAGTGTAATTCAAAATTATTATTACCTTAATATATATTAATAATAATGTCGTTATTGCTTTAAAGAGATTTACATTAAAATAAAAACAAAGATAACCTAAACAATATATCGGCTAATCTTGAAACTTAGTCACTAAGTTGTTTTACCACATGACCCTCAAGAAAATATCCCTATGATACGAAGCAAAGTACATTAAAAGTACATAATTCAACAGAATGAGTAAATAACAAAAATAACTTCCAAGAAAACAAAAAAAAATGTAGTGGCGAGTGTTCAGCACAAAGTTTTAAGTTTTACTCTCAAGGAATGAGTGGCAACTTGTCTGTAAGGGCTGTAGGGCTACATCCTTCCAGTACAACGGGAAACCAATTTATATAAATATAAACTAAAATACGTTATCCTACCTATACCTATTTTTAAGTAAAACATTTTTTATCAATCCACGTATTCGGGCTGTTAAATCGGACAATGTCGCTCGCGATCGTATGTCTCAGATACGGAATTTTTATATACAAGAGGACTAAAAAAATTTCCGCCATGCTCCTGTTTAGACAGTCACAAACTTTTTACCATCATTGTTTTATATGTGACAGCCGTGAATTGTTCAGTATTTTGGAACAATATAAAGTTATCTGAAAAACCAGTTTTATGTTAGTTACTTTTATTGAATCATATATTTATATTCAACAGTTTTCTCGTCGTATTTCGTTGTTAAAGTCGTTAGCTTGTTGGTAAAAATATTGTTTTAAAAACATGCCAACCACTTGTCATGTAGTAAAGTGTGGAATCTGTAGAGATCGTGATGTTGTTAGATACCTATATAGTGAACTGCATTTTGTGCATACAAATGAAGTTTCAAAAACAAATGACGCCATAAATGGGTACAATTTATCAGACGATTTCTCACAGAGACAAACTTTAATTATTTCTAAGTGTATTTGGCCTAACTAGGCTCATTGTACAACCTCCTAAG